CTGACTGTAGAACACTACCGGGAAGTGTGACCATACTCCCCACAAGTACAGCAACTACCCTGAAAAGTACCGAATGGCCTCCTCTGTCGGTTAGCCTGTGGCTGACCCTGTCCTGCCTGTGGTCCCCCATTCTGCTGTCGCTGAACAGGTGCCACATCCCTGGGAGCATCTGATCCACCCTTGTGCTTCTTCCAAGGCTGTTGTCCTTGGAACTTGCCCTTGTCATTCTGTCGGTGACCGTTCCCATTCCCTTTCTCAGCTGACTGATTAGCAGAGTTTCTGTCACCCGTTTCTCACCCTTGGCCTATCTGATATCCACAGTCAACTGATACTGCTGTAGCGCAGCGTCTACCACTTGAGCATAAGTAGTATAGGCTGGACTACCTGTAATAGCTCTCTTGATAGACCACATCAGTCCCTTGACGAAACTGTTGCATTTTTTCTCTTCTGTATCCACCTCCTCCGGTGCAAAAAGTGATAAGCGCATGAACTGCTGCTCATACTCCGCCATTGTCATGTTCCCCTACTGCAGATTTAGAAACTCAGTTTTCATAGCTGCCCTGACTGCATAGGGAAAATATTTCTCGTCAAAGCGAGCATTGAACTCATCATAAGTCAATGTCATCATCTCCTCTGGGTGGTAACTGACTCCCACCACTGTAGTGCATCCCCAACTAACTTGAAAGTAGCAAGCATCTGCTTCTGAACCTCCGTGCACTGAACCAAACGAAGATGACGCTCAATATCCTGTTTCCACTGGTGAGCTGCTCTCGCATCGGTGGAGCCCGAGAACACAGGTGGACTCCCTTTTGCGAAAAAGCTCCTAGCCTTTCCCCAAGAATCCATCTGAACCACTAGTGCTGGTACAGGTGTCTGCTGAACCTGTGGTTGGTTCCGGAGTACAGCTGTTACCCCAGCCTCTATAGCTCGAGCAACAAGGTCATTGAGGTGTGGAGGAATCTCTGGATCTCTGACCCGACCCTGACTCTGTTGAACTTCCTCATGCTCCTTCTGAAACCCTGGCATTTGCTGCTCTTCTTCCATTTGCCGACGTTGTAGACGTTCCTACTGTCTACGTGCCGCTCTCCTCTGTCGACTATTCATGTTCTGTCCTCTTCCAGTGTTAACCATGCTGTTAACATAGAAAGACAGATATCAGTACGAGTTTAAACGAACCGTAAAAGAATTCAACAAATCCTAAACATAAGCTCTATATAAAAAAAACGCTATGCGGAAGTCTTAATACGAAACGTCTTAGAAACACTTGAACCTGGAGTGCTCTGATACCAACTGTGATACCCCTCGGATCCGAGACACGGGTTGATCAGGCCCAGGCCCAAACCCGAGGGAATATCAAACAATTAAAGTATTTTAAAGCGAATACAGATGACAAAATGAAATAATAAAGATAGAATAAAACTGAAAGAAACATTAATTATAAAACCCTCCATGCATAACTGAAATAATAAAACTCCAATCCTCCAAAACTTCAAGGTTACAACTTGGGAATCCACTGGTGGCCCCCTAACCAAAAATTCAACTGAAACTGAAAACTTAAAATAGAAAATGCTAGAAACATCGAGAAAAATCCTACGTAATCAAATGAATGTGAGACTGTCCTTGACAAGCACGATCAAGCTCTAAGGCTGGAACCGTCATGTACCTGAAAAGAATAATAAAGGAGAGGGTCAGACCCACGAGCAAGTTCTAATCTAACTGCAATCCATACAATGACCCGATACGCAGATACACCGTAGACACCTCACAAAATCTATCTAGTCCATACGTATAAATATATCCACACTAAGGGACATTCACTGGTCTATAATAGGGGTATCAACCTGAATAGAAGGCAACATGCGAATACGCACCCAAAGGTAGGCATGAGTACCTAGACCTAACAGGGTACACCTCAACCTATTATAACCAGCTACGTATCCACCGCATATACGCACCCTAACCAACGAGTCTGAGACTCAAGCTCAGCTCGTGGTACTATAAACATATATATATAATCCATCCAAATCCAGGGTATGTAGTTCAAATATTTAATAAACTGACATACAACAAACCAACTGGTTAGTCACTCAACTTATTCAGTTGATGTGACTTAACCTCCGTCCATTAATCTAGGAAGCCACTCAACTTAGTTGCAGTAGACATGTCTTAACCAAAATTAGGATTTAATATTTATAAATCCACTCCTTAAATCCGTTAGGTTAGGTTTAGGTGTTTGGAGCTAAACCGTCACCAGTATGTCACCGTCCCATTCCGGTGTATACAATCTTCCATATCCAGGTAAATTACAATGTATACATAATAAACAAGTAATTTACAGTTCAAAACCACCATCCAAATAATTGCAGAAAAGTATTTAAGATTTCAGCAATTTAAATCCCAGAATTAAACCATGTAATTGCAGGAAACAGTTTAATAGTTTACACAACTAGCATCGAAAGCATGCATAGACCCAATCCAATATATTAATGACTCTATCATGCATTTAGAACAAATTCTATAATCCTATTATAGTCCAACAAATTGCTAAATTAACCTAAACAATTTATTTCGTCCCATCCGATAACAGTGTACTAAGTCATACGCTTTTATACTGTTTTATTCTTTATCTTGGAGACTTAAACCATGCATCAATTAGTTTAATCACACTTAGAATCAAGTAATTAGATCCTCTGTAAAGTTCCCACAATACATTAGAAACATCCCAAGGCTCAAACAGTGTCCAGAATACCAAACAGTGCATTAAAAACTAAAAAAAAATAAAATTAATCGTATAATGAAGAGGGAGCCTGCTCCAAATTTTGGGAGTAAGCTCTTTCAGCCTAGAGCCGGCTCTAGGAGTCCTTAGAGCCGGCTCTACTTGTTATGGGAGCCGGCTCCCACATCCATGGAACCGGCTCTCACCTCCTTTGAGAGCCTCTGTCCCGTTGTTTCGTTTCAGTCCGTCTGCTCCCTATCTGATCAATTCCTACCACTCTATTGGTTTCTAAAACTAATCTAAGGAGTCTTAATTTAGTCTAGAAGCATCCCCAAGGTTGTTTACAATAATTTTGAAAACAATTACAGAGTTTAATCAAGCCATTTAAACTAGTATGCTTGAAAAACAATACTGGAACAGGTTTCAGAAACTTTCAGTTCTCTTCCGAACCCTCTGTTCCTCTTCACCACTGAACCTACGGATCTTATATCAATCCCAATAATATCCCCATGGTTCATTTACAGAGACTAAAAAAAATATTCCAAAGACTAGAGTTACAACAGAGCAACATGCTTAAAGAACAGAAAACTGAAACGAGCCATGCATGAACTGTAACAAAATGGTTTTCAACATAAACAGATCGTTCATATGACATATATTAAACATATATCTTCCAGTTATTGATTGATTAAACCCTAAAGATTATCTAGGTGCACATAACACGGGCCAAAGAAAAGGAGAAAGAAAAGAACTTGCCTTTGAGTTTCAGACTTGAAACTCTAAATTCCCAGTTTTTGTATTGCCCGTTCAATTCCCCAATGCTGTTCCACAAACCCACGTTCCTTCTACCTTGCTCCCACCTATCCTTCCTCTCCTATCTCTCTTAATTCTCCCTCTGTATCCCACGGTCTCTGTTTTTACAAAAATTACGGTTAATTATTCTAAAACCCTAAACCACCGTGACACACATACTTATAGGCTTAGTGATTAAACCCTAATCTTATAGGCTTAGTGATTAAACCCTAATCCATGTATAACTCGGCCCATAAAAACCTAGGTTATACTAACTGTCGGCACATAACTATAAGACAGTCATGATGAACAATAATTTAAATTAATTAAACCAGTCACTTAAAACAATTAACTTAAGACAATTAAATTAGTAAATCCCCTAAAATCAACACAATTAAAAAAAAAATTTAAAACAATTAAATCTGCAATTAAGACAACTAATTAAACAAAACAATTAATCAATTAAGTAAAACAAAACCCAAATTTAATATAACCATGAAATAAACACACAATTAAAAAAAACAATTTAAACTAATTAAATCAAATAAAAACCAATTAAACAATTAAATAAAGGATTAAACAATTAAATAAATGTCAGGACTATCCTTTTAAAATTAGGGGTATTACAAGTTGTATCAGAAGAGTTTATTAATTAATGGAAATACATTCTGAGGTTTATTATTAGATTATCATTTTAGTTTCTTGTCAGCATTTTATTTATTCTTCTTTATTCTTTTGTACTCTATATTCGTTTATTATCAATTTGTTTTGATATCCTCGGATATTCGGGCGTGGGCCGGCCAACCCGCATTCGGGAATCCGAGGGTATCACAATTAAACACTCTATTGGCAATGGAGCTACTACATCCTTCTAGTGGGATAACTGGGCTCCAGGAGGGCCTCTATGCTCTAGATTCACAACTAATCTTCTATCAGAGAGTAGATTGAATGAAGAAGCAACAGTGGATAACTTCATTGTTGATAATTCCTGGGTTTTCCCTACCACCCTAACCAATGCCATCCCAGAACTGCTCACTCTACCTGCTTCTTGCATATCTAGAAGTGATATTAAAAAATGGATTCCATCCCCTACTGGCAAGTACTCTTTTAGCCACACAGCTGCACAATTAGCTGAAGCCCTTCCTAACGTCCCATGGCACAATATAGTTTGGCATTCCCTATCCATTCCAAGAATGAAATTTATTCTTTGGTTGGCTGCTCAATCTAAATTGCCAACCCTTGACAGTAAGTCTATGGCCAACCACCAAAACATATGTCCTTTGTGCAATATGTCACCTGAATCTCATAACCACTTATTTCTTAATTGCTCATTCGTCTCTCCTATATAGCGTTTTATCAAATATTGGTGCAATATTCAGACAGTTATCACTAATTAGGAAAACCTTGTACAGTGGTCTAGTACTCAGTAGAACGCAAACACACATGAAAATCTATACAGGAAATTGGGCTTATCAGCCATGGTGTACCATACCTGGGAGGAAAGGAATGCCAGAATCTTCAGAGGGAAGAAAGCTTCACAGAGGGTTGTCTGCGCCAAGATCTCTTCCACTATCGCTACTATCTTGAAGCTTGGCAATCTCAAGGATTGCTTGGAATCTAGATCTATCCTCATGGACTGGAACATCTCACCGTCTTCTACAAGACCTCCTCCGCGCCCTCCAGACTGAATCATAGCGGCTTAGCTACGAATTGATGTCACCAGATTGTATATGATCTCCATTGACAGCCGGTGCCGTTAATGGTAGTTATCATTTGGGATCGGGTCCTCCCTTGTTGGGTTGGTTTTAATAGCTTTATGTTATTTGGGCTTGTCGCTCTTGGGCCTAAGGCCTCTTGTACATATTTTAATCAATGAAAATTGCTTTAATTTTTGAAAAAAAAAAAGAAAAAGAAAAAAAAAACACAAGTGAACGGAGATATAATATGTAGCATTTCTTAAATTCTGAGGAGTTTTTTTTTTTTTTTTTTTTTTTTTTTTTTTTTTTTTTTTTTGGGACAATAGTTAACTCCTCATCGGTTATTATCCTCACTATATATGTGACACAATCTTATTATGATATATCATAATCAATAAAATATAAAAGTAAATAATATCATACAGAGACTAAAGGGTAAATTACACTTAGACTCCCTGAAGTTAGGTCATTTCTCACCTAGATGAAAATTTTGGTTTTAATTTTTACTTATATTTGAAAGAGTGATTTTGTATTTCACTTACACCCCAAATGTCAATTTGGAAGGTAAGTGAAATACTTTTTAGGTATAAAATGACTATTCTACCCTTTTGACCATCTGTTGACTTAAAAAAAGTGTATTTTAATTTTTTCATGACAAAAATACCCCCACAAGGCCAACAGACAAAAGCCATGAATCAAATAATTGTATGTCACTGCATCAGCAGGAATTCCTTGATCAACCATTTCATCGAAAAATCTTACAGCTTCCTTCAACCGGCCTGTACTACACAATCCATTAATCAAAGAACTATAAACAATAACATCTGGAGAAACTCCTCCGCCAATCATTTCTGTGTAGATATCAATCGCCTTACTTATCAACACATCCTTGCAAAGAGAAGCAATGATCATGCTATATGTAAACACATTCACCTCGTAGTTTGTCTTTAACATCTTCCTATGCAACTCAAGAGCAAGACCCATCTCGCAGATTTTACAAAGCCAATTAATAAGAATTCCATATGCGAACACGTCTCCTTGGACACCCTTTTCAGTCATTTCATCAAACAACTGGACTGCATTCATAACCTTACCTTCCATACACAAGCCCTTAACCAGAGTATTGACGGTCATTGAATCCAGCTTCAAACCTCTCTTCAAAATCTCCCCAAAAAGACCAAACCCAGAATTAACATTATTCAAGTGACAACAACAATTGATCAAAATGTTCAATGTACACAAATCAAGCTCAATTCCAGCAAAACCCATCTTCTTATATAGCGAAAACACTACCAAATAGCATCTGACTTTGGAGATAGAACCAAATAGATGATTAAACGTATCCATTGACGGCATTGGTTGCGTTTGATTCAATTTGTCAAAGTATTTTTGGACAACCCTTAACATTATTTCTCCTACAGATTCGCTAGTTTTGGAAGTTGAAGAAGAATATTGAAATGGATTTATATATATGAAGGTTAAAGAGTATATATATTTACTCTTTTGAATTGCATTACCTATAAGAACATTTGCATTATTTTGCAACATTAAAGTAGGAGTATTTGGAACTGAAAAAATTGTTCAGATATATGTACTTTGGAAGTTACAAACATGCATATGTATGAATATAGACTTGCATAAACAAATCATATATCAGCTGCAGAAAACTATGGACAGGTCAATGGGCATGTCTTCTTGATTATGGGATACAGTAAAGTATAATTTATTAGATGTATATTATGCATTTTCATCAAAATATAAATTAGACGTATTAATGGATATTCTATATTATTACAGGTAGTATTCACTATTCATAAAACAAAATGAGTTTGGGATTTGAGATCACAAAATTTGCTAGAACTTTCTAATTTATCTTAAAGTGAGAGCTTCGTGGGTTATATTTTCCATGACTATATATGGGTTAGTTTGGTTAGGAGAGAAATGCAGAGAGGTGTGTTGGGTGTTGTGTGGTGTGTGTCATTTGGTGCGTGTTACTGTGTTAGTATACAATGATAGGGGTAGTTTTGTCTTTTAGAGTTATAGATTTTTTTTTGCATTAAATTGTATTAAAAAAATTAAGGGTAAAAGGGTCCATTCACATGTGTCAGAGTCCAAAAGCAAATTGGGGTGTACGGCATGTTTGGTGTGGTGGAATGAATTGGAATGGAATGAGAATGAGAATGGAGGTGGGAATGGAATGAGAATAACAATTCTCATTCTACCGTTTGGTTGTAAACATGGAATGTGTAAAAATGAAATCCCATTCTCATTCCTATGTTTGGTAAGAAAGTTAGAATAAAATGAATTTATATTATTAATAATAAAAAAAATTAACTAAAAAATTAATTTGCAAAAATAAAAGGGAAAGAGATAATAGAGAGAAAAAAAAAAAAAACGAGATAAAGAGGGGGAACAAATAGCATATAGATACATATTTTATATAATGTATGTATCAGTGAATTATTTCTTTAAATTATTTTATTACTTTATTAATTCTTAGTGGAAATGGAATGGTCATTCCACCTCTCAAAAAGTGAAATGGGCATTCCCTAAGAATGACCATTTCACTTTTAATGTGACACACCAAACAAGAGAATGGAAACAAATACATTCCATTCCACCTTCGTTTGATTTCATTCACTCACACCAAACATTGTCTAAGTGAAAGTTAAAACCAAAATCTTTATATAAATGAAAAATGACTTAACCTCAAGGGATGTAGTGAAATTAACCCAAGACTAAATGAACCCCCAACCTAACTTTAATTCTTTTTTATTTTATTTTTAATTGACAATAAAAAATGATGTGTCAAAACAAGATTGAATCATATATCTGGTGTTAATGGTATTGTCTTCTCTTTATTTATTTGTGTGTGTGCGCGCGCGCCTATTTTAATAATTTAGGGTGACCTTTTTTACTAAATAATATATATTTTGCCATTTCCCGAAAATTCAATGTTACTTGATTTGTTGTTGTGCTTAAGAAAGTTTAAGAAGCATTTAATCTCAGTCCATAAAGGCAACATTTTTCTCCTGACTCCAAAAGGAAAGATAATAAAGCCAATCACGTGCTTACAATAAAATAATTAAATTGGACACAAACATATATTGATTTACTCTTAAAAAATAATCTAACCGTCTAGAATTATCTCACTATTCTCTTTTGAAACAAAATTGCCCTTTTACCATTTCATTGTCATGTTTTTTTTTATTTTTTTATTGTCATGTTTATCGACTAAAGTTCAAGCCACGGGTTTAGCTTTTTCTCTTTGGCTAATTATTTTTATTGTAATAACATTGTCCTCTACTAAAGTTCAAGCCACGTGTTTAGCTTTTTCTCTTTGGCTAATTATTTTGGTTGTAATAACATTTGTCCTCTATGATTTCATTGTCATGTTTAGTGATTAAAGTTCAAATCACGTGCTCATGAAAACAACATTTTCCGAAATTTAAATAATTCTTGGACAGATACAAGTACAATATATTTTATTGGTCTTAAATCAAGCAATAGTCATGATAGTACAAAATCTTTAGATTTTCTGGACCAAGATAAGATATGAAAATGATACAGATATAACAATAATGTTGCTCCTTGCTACACCACAGGACACAGTGCCTCCACGATTCCATCGGTCTTGATACAACTGCTACGTCGAAAGATTTTCGTGGTTCTGGTCAATTCTAAAGAAAAAAAAATGTCTCAACTTGTTCCTCTTACATTTGTACTCATCCTTGGTGGTCCTGTTGATTTGATCGCTCATATCCGACATAGTTGTCTTTTATTTCAATGAATTACATGAATCTAAAACATGTGTAACATCAAAAACATGTGTAACATCAATATTCCTCATCTGAGCCAAAGATGGAGATGGAGTGCGTGGTTCAAATGCTAAAAGATTCAAGTATGAGCTCCCATAAAATGCAACAACCAGCATAAATAATGTAAAGGTACAAAATCGACGCACAATAAATACAACACACGATAATATTCGAATTTGATGCAATTTATTCGTTTTTACAACCTTAGATCTTGTAATTGCTGAGGAGTGGTATTCATAATCTTCTTGAAATCATTTAATTTTTATTAAGAAAAAAATCATTAAGTGTATCATATAATCGTATCACCAGTTACTTTTTGATACTCAAATCAACTACTAGCAAAGAATATAACTACTAAAATTTAATAATCCGAGTATTAAAATTAAATGTTATCCAATATAGTATACGTTAATTGTTACAAAAAATAGATTAAATATTGATTTAACTTTCAATTGAAATGACTATTTCTGTTCTAGTGCCTAAGAATCTAAACTTTTACTGTTGCCTGAAACAATGAAGACCATGTTTATAAGTTAAATCCTATAAGCGATCAAGTTATGAAATATTTAATTAAAAGTTTAAATATTCTCCTCATATTAAGGTTTAATTAAAATATAAAAAAAAATTCCATATATTATTAATACTTGAGACACTTGTAACACGGGCACCAATCAATATTTGGGCCTAAACTGAATTTTGGGTAAACTACATTAGAATCAAAACCCTGTCTGGTAGTTTTTGCCATAAAACTCTACAAGATCATATTTTATCTATTTTTATTCGTATATAAAAATGATAAAATTTTACTGTAAATATTAAAAAATGATTGAAGTTTATGATATTGATATTTATAAAAATAATGAAATTCACTATTTAAATTGGTTTCTGGTAAGAAATTTATCATTTAAATTGTTGAAAAACTGTGAAAAAAGTTACTTCCAAAGCTTCTTTTTTTTTCTTTTTTTTTTTTTATGGTTGTTGTTGTGGTGTTTTTTGTCTCGACAATTACTCTTTGGAAGACTCAATTTCTACCTTTCCATTTGAAAAGATAAAAGTTATCATTAGGCCACATTTTTTGAAATTAAGAGAGTATTTGAATCCTTAAATTTAAGCGTGCTCTCTCTCTCTCTCTCTCACTCTCTTATTGTGCAGTGATCTTTTCTTGTTTGAAAGACTCAAATCTCTACCTTTCAATTTGAAAGGTTAAGAGATACCATTGGCATATTCCGAGAGCATTCGAATTCCTAAATTTAAACTCTAATTCTCTCTCTCTCTAGGTTACTTCACAAATCACAATCATTATGCCGTGATCGAATAACTCCGTATCCTTTGAAAAATTCAATCTCTATCTTTCAATTTGAAAGGACAAGAGATACTACTAGACGAAATGCATTGACATTTCGAGAGCATTTGGATCCCTAAATTTAAGTTATAGTTCCCCCCTCTCTTGGTCCCTTCACAATCATTGTACGGCGATTCCTCCACCTTCTCCTTCCCCTTCCCCCTCTTTCACTCACACTTGTATGGAGAGAGACAGATCCAATGGATTCACGTGGGCAATCGTACATATATCTACATATATATATCTATGGCCCAAGCTAGTCTGAGAATTGCAGTGTGAGATGCCCACCATTGCTGTTTTCATGGAAAGCTCCAATTTTCTTCACTGCATTATATTAGCCCCCACTACCACATGCTTTGCTTTCTCTCCATATATTACTACCTGTCTGCGCTGTCTTCTCAATCCCCATTTTTATTCATTATCGTTTACTATTCTCGGTTGACTTTAGATTCAGCTTTAATGATTGAGAATTAACAAATCACCTACAAAGCCTCACTCTTTTCTTAAGCTGATGTTTGATGATATTAAAGATTAGCTATCTACTTGAACAATGTATTACTAGTATTAAGAATATTCTTTGTTTGTTTGAATTTTCGAAAATAATTTTTCAATTCTTAAAAATAGTTTTCTTTCGCGCTAAAAAGTATTACATGATCCCGGATTATTTAAAAATTTATTCTGTAAATACATATATAGGGACATGTATATAATATTGGAGGAGAACTTATGATGCACAAGACATAGCATGCCATTAATTGTGCATTTTGATTTGCTGAGACATGTCTGTCCCACTCTAAATCTATTCATAACATTTACATACAAATAAATTGATATATATACATACATAGACAGGTATGTGAATTATATATACATGAATAATTTATATAATAGACAAAATGTGTAAACAATTATATATACGCACTATGTTCTTGTATCTATGGACATATATATTTCTAGAGAAAATCACTCATAAAAAATAAAAAGAAAAATTGGTAAGTCATTTTTTAGTTTGTAATTGAAAGCTACTTTTTATTCTTCTCAACAATTATGTAAATCATTTTACAATCAAACAAATGCTTGAATATATATATATATATAATTTTTTTTTT